GTACTGCAGGCAGGAGTACTGCAGGGATGGGTACTGCAGGCAGGAGTACTGCAGGGATGGGTACTGCAGGCAGGAGTACTGCAGGGATGGGTACTGCAGGCAGGAGTACTGCAGGGATGGGTACTGCAGGCAGGAGTACTGCAGGGATGGGTACTGCAGGCAGGAGTACTGCAGGGATGGGTACTGCAGGCAGGAGTACTGCAGGGATGGGTACTGCAGGCAGGAGTACTGCAGGGATGGGTACTGCAGGCAGGAGTACTGCAGGGATGGGTACTGCAGGCAGGAGTACTGCAGGGATGGGTACTGCAGGCAGGAGTACTGCAGGGATGGGTACTGCAGGCAGGAGTACTGCAGGGATGGGTACTGCAGGCAGGAGTACTGCAGGGATGGGAAAGAGACGCCTGACACGTGAGGAAGCACTGGAGGCATGTGTAGTGCGCGATTGTGAATAGCACGTGTGAAACGCGCTCTGGGCAGAGATTATCAAAGATGATTATCAGCACTAATCCAGAGTCGTCTTCCATGGCAAATATACCGCGCATATAGACGCAGTGCGCAGAAATTGCGCACTAATGACAGCTTCATTCTTAAATTGTGATATTTCATGGTTTGTTTCAGCTTCTAAATTTTCAGTAATATCATCAGTTATAAATAGTTTTCGTTCATCCCTCACCTAATGGCTACAGATTAGAGATATTGGCGATGAACTGAAAGGTAGCTCTTGAATAAAGAGAAGAGATTAAAATTTGGCCAACCTAGCGATCCAGTCAGCAAATCTTGGTGCAGTGCCGCAGCAGACACTACTAGCACTACTTCTGATAGGAGAATCGTCACAATCATGTAGATAAAAAACAATCTCTCACTCTCTCCAAGAGTATTCTATGAATATGTTGTAGTAGTTTCAGAATGTTTTCTGTTTTGTTCTTTTTCACAGATACTTTGACAGGGGTCTTAACGCCTGGATGATAAGGTCAGTAATTCTCTATTGATCGTCTGTATTCAAGTCCCGATTATTAAGCTAGCGCTGTACTAACAAGTGTCAGGGCAGATGAAAAGGGCAGTGTGGCCGAGTGGATAGGGCGCTGAGCTTGTAATCTGGTGTTTCCAGGTTCAATCTCTCCTCTCTCCCAAGTTCATCTCCTCAGTGACGCTTTGTATCTAACCAGGCAATTGGTTATATCAACTCAGTTGAATTAGTATCATTTCAGAGCTGAGCAAAGAGTTTCCAGCAATCTGATTGGTCAAGCGGTTCCTTATATGAAGCTATATAAACCGCTCCACGCGGTTTATATAAAATGTTAAAATAAAATGTAAATGTTACTACAATGTATGACTTTTGAAATTTCTCTGTTGTTCAGCTCTTAAATTATACTAAAACAATTATTCGCCTCAGGTCGGTGAATATTGTCGAATAATCCCCTCGACCTCGTCTCGGGGATTATTCGATGATATTAACCTCGCCTTCGGCGAATAATTGTTAAATAGTAAATTGGCCACCGTAACGAATAAAAAAGCTGACGTCTCGAGCGTTAGCCCTTCGTCATTCGCTCTGACGAAGGGCTAACGCTCGAAACGTCAGCTTTTTTATTCGTTACGGTGACCAAATAACTATTTCAACTTAGTTGATATAACCAATTACCTTGTTACCCCCACCGACGCAGCAACACAGTTTCTTTAGAATCTTTCAGCCTTTATTCATTTGTATATAACCAACTGGTCTGCGTCTGGCCAGTTGGGAGTTTTAAACGCTATGGTTATATGCGTTTCCAATTTGTTTGTATTTGCCCTGAAAAGCTCCATTAGAGGAGTGATCAGGGAATGTTGTTTTTGTTGTTATTATTATTTTTTTATTTTGTCAAAAATCTGACATATTAGTTTTAACTTTTAAGGTACTTGTCGTGGGTTGAAAGGAAATTCTTCATTAGCAAGCTTTCTTTTTCGTTCTCAACTTGAGCTTCTTTGCTGATGAATATAGCAAGTGAAAAAAGCATATCAGAATACGGCTGCCTTCACTGTGCATCGTGTGTACTGACAGACGTTCTGTGGTTTGTGGCAGATACATTTATATTCCTCTGGGAGGATCCCGTTCAGGCGTTTTCCGTCAAATTGTAGCTTCGTTTTTCGCTTTTGCCTTTATATGGTTGTGGCATGGCGCGCATGTGCACGCAATATGGTGGTTCATCCCTAACTGGATTGGAGTTGTTGTAGAATCTATGGCGGGCATCGTGTTGAAGCTTCCTTCAGTCACTCAATTGGAGGTGGGTATATTTGCGTTCGAATGAATCTCAATAATGACGTTTAATTATGGTTAGCTGCTTTTGAAAATGATCTTATTCCACTTGGAAACCCTCAGTTACCCAGCTGCTGTTGAGTGGAAGGTACCGCAGTGTGAGGTGCCAGTAAGAGCGTGTCATAGAGCGATATAATAAAAATGCTGCGTGCCTGCTCCAGCATCAGTAAAATTGATTTCAATCTGTTGGCCTTACATGCTATCTTCAGACACGATTGTTAATCGGAAACCCTACTCATTGGCCTTCATCGCAGTTGTTTCCTGAACTTGTCGAACAACGTACTCCCTTATACCACGAGCCCGAAAAAATCGGCTAAAGAAGTTGAGGATAGATCAATGACTAGTTTTACAGTTATGAAACACTCCTTGGTTTTTTCCCCAGAAAGTCAAAACTGTTGTTTTTTCCCTTTTTTAGGACAGGCTCTCTCCCGCAGCATCGCGCCGAATTCGCGCCATGTTTGGTGTTGTGACAGTGTCCTGCTTGATTCTAAGTAACCTGGTGTTTTTGAGTGGATCCGAACCCATTTGGTTTTACATCAAGAGAATGTTTTATTTCGGTATGTTAAAAAACCTCATTAAACTGTTCTTTAACGTCACTACAATTATTTTCATTGGTGTTTAAATCTAGTATCTTCAGTTAAGTTTGTTAAAATATTCACGTTGTTTAGTCAGTGACAAAAAAAAAAAAATTAGGAAAAAGTTTCGTTGCAGTTCGCATTCGTTAAAATTCGAAGCACTGGTTTTAGTTGTACAGCGGAAGGCGAAGAAATTTACATAAGGATCAAAAGCACAGCTAAGAGGGCTGGGGATAGGGCAAGCGATGTAGTCCTTATATGGTACTTTGATGTCTCGAAATTCTCGTCTTATTTCATATAGCCTAACTGTAATTTCTTTTTCTTAAGGTTGGCCCTCGTCAACTCTTTTGATTCTTTTCACCATGTACCTCGTTGTACAAACAAATATGGAACTCAACCGACATATATCCAAATGGTGATGAAACTAATTTTTCAAACATTGTGTAGCTCGTTATGATTAATTGATGACGGAAAGTTAACTTCCAGTATGTGATAGTTTCATACTTCAGTAGTATTAAACAGTGACAGACGTTTTTGCCAAATTGATTCTGTAAAAGCTATGAAATAGGAATTAATAAAGTATTGTATACTTCTGTCCATGCACCGATCGTTTTCTCTGTCCCATCCAGGTAAGGAATGTTGCAAAAACAAAATCGCCTTATTAAGCCGTAGTGTCTCAATGGGAAAGGTCGACTGACATAACCAGGGGGATGGGGATGTGTCTTTAATCACTTTTGTGTTTGCCTTCTTTTGTCCTGTGGTCAACTTCTGCCCACTGCTAGCAAGGTTTTTAAGTGTAACACCAGTTTTGGTGTGGCAACTTGCTCAATATTTTGCGAGAGTGCCTTGAGTTAATTTTATTCATTTTTAACGCTCATTGAGGAAAGTGATTTAGTGGTTATCGATAAAGTCCATTCTTTTCACGTCGTATAGCTTCAATTTACCAAAACACACGCAAAAAAAATCGATAAAATGGCAATAATCAAATTTAAACAAACGCCATGCATAATTTTCATGATGACCTGCGAACCGTGCAAGGGTTCTCCCCAGGCTCTCTCGTTACTTTTTTCCGCACTGTTGCACTCATCCGGCTGGCCTGGTCTTTTTCCGTAAGAATGCTGTGCGTTCGCCGGAGAGAGGTCGTTATCTAACGTTAAAAATGTAACGACAGTGCAACAGTGTTGATCTAAGCTGAAAAGTCCAATTAGAATGTGTATCATTTGTCACTGCAGATAGATTACTTTACATGTTGTTATGCTTGGCTGTGACTTGCCCATTCTACGGACGTGAGTACAGGCATCCTACGTTTCTAAATTTGGCAAAAGGATTAAAAGAAACGCAATTAGTAAAACTAGTCTGATGATAAAACTTTGTTTTCTGGTGCTACAAGCAAATAAAGCTGTCTACGCTTGAGCGTAAGACCTTAACTGGACACAGAGCAAGGAAAAAATAATCACCCTACTGAGTGACACGTTAGGGACAAAGTTTCGAACACCGTGATGGAAAGTCCGCATGAAAGTGACTCTATTAGATTAGTGGGATTTTTTGTTGTTATGATATTCATTATTATCCTACCCTAAGCACGGCAATAACATCGTATTTCCCGTTTTATTTTTGTCATTTTGGTCCATTGTCGGTGTCTCCTGGGTGTGAAATTCATTTAAAATCTTAGTCAAATAATTCACGGCATTGATACAAAAGTCTCACGAAAAGGGAGCTTAACTGGCCTGTCAGTAATCGTACGTATTCAATCCGACTTTTCGTGAAAATTGACAGAATTTCCGTCACAGTTAACCATGCTTGTGAACGTAGTCGCAATTATATCCTTCACAAGAGCAACTTCTAGTGTTAAAAGGACTTCGCCGAAAGAATCAGTCTCTGGGCCAAGTCCAAGGATGTTACTTATACAATCTGACCTTGAGTGTTTGTTTCGAAATGCGCAAAGGATTCGTGAAATTACTGAAGACCAATGGCAATGAAGTTCTAAATTACAGGCAACTTACTACCAAAATGTTTCTCTACCAAGTCTTCGATCAAGCATTTGTTGGGTAAGCTGATTCAGTAAGATATGTCTTCATGAGTGCACTGTATGGGTCAAAAAATCAATCATTTACCCGACGGCGAATGGCTGCCGAGGATTGTGTGGCAAAGGGTTTTCGTGCTGGAATTGGGTCTGTGGCGATTGCTGCAGCCATGAGGGCTGTTACGAACACGATCTCTATTGTAGAGAAAATCCAACAAGTCCACACTGCCTTTTTCCACATTCCTGCGGTTTTACATCCTCCGAATTTGGAGGTTATAAGGGGTGATTAAATCGGAGGTGGCGGTGGTGGTAAACCGAGAAGAGGACGAAAAACATTTTTGAGATAACTCTGGTTTTACCAAATGATAATGAATACCAAAATGATCGAGCCTAAATGAAAGCATTACTCATCGCTGGCTTAACATTCACAGTTCACTATTTCTTACAATCTATGGCTGCCTCCAATTAATGCAGTCAAGTTGGGCATAGGGTAAAATATAGACTGGACTAGACTATTTTTTGGACGATTTTTTGGACCATTTTATAAGGGGGAAGGCACACCTTTAGTACTCAGGGAGGGGTGGGTGCAGTCGACAAGTACTGAGGGAGGGGTGGGGGGAAAGTGTTATTACTCAGGGAGGGGTAGTAGGTGGTTGTAATTGTAAACACTACTGGTTAATGGAGCTTCTACTCGATCGTAATAATTATTTTAATCGGTTCCTCGACTGACTTCTCCTACATCAACATTTTGCGCTGGGCCGCGGCGTTTCTTTAATTTTTTAGCCATGCGAAAGCGAAACTGCCACGTAAATACAAGACTTTGGTTCTTTTTGAAAATGTCGCGTTTACTATCCTCCACTGTTGAGTTACGAGTCTGGCATAGGTTATGCGTGTGCCTTTTGAGTCGACTTGTGCACCATCAGTTTTCCTTTGTGTAATTACCAGATTTATCTATCTTTATTTTGTCATTGACGTTATCAGACGAGATCACAGAATTTCCGTTCCTTGTCCCTTGGCTTTAGCCGCAAATATAGAGTTCACAAGCGCTATCGCAATTTTAACGTTTGTACGTTTACTATATGAAATCACTTTTGGTACAATCGTACAAAGCAATATTCTCTCAGGTGTCTCGTTGACACAGACCACGAAAACGCAGACCGCAGAGCGCAGACCGCACACCTCGAAAAACGTGTATACAGTGTGTAATTACCAGATTTATCTCTCTTCCTTTTGTCATTGATGTTATCAGACAAGATCTGGAATTTCCGTAATGCGAAAGCGAAACTGCCACGTAAACACTGGACTTTAATTTATATTGAAAATACTGCGTTTACGATCCTCCACTGTTGAGTTATCCGTGTGCCTTTTGAGTCGACTTGTGTGTGCACTATCAGTTGCTTCACGTTTTCCTTTGTGTATACAGTATGTTCTTACTGAATTTATCTATCTTCCTTTTGTCAGTGATCTAATCAGACGAGATCACAGAATTCCGCACTACACCGAAATACCTAGTCAAACAATAGAGTGTTTCTGTCTCGGAACTATCGGCTGATAGTTCCGAGACGTAAGTATTGTCTTTATTGTTCACCACTAAATTTTCTTTCGCGCGCCAGTTTAAAAACAATCAATAATTATTATGATCGAGTAGAAGCTCCATTAACCAGTAGTGTTTACAACTACAACCACCTACCACCCCTCCCTGAGTAATAACACTCTTCCCCACTCCTCCCTCAGTGCTTGTCGACTGCACCCACCCCTCCCTGAGTACTAAAGATGTGCCTTCCCCCTTATAAAATGGTCCAAAAAATCGTCCAAAAGATAGTCCAAAAAATAGTCCAAAATATCGTTCAAAAAATCGTCCAAGAAATAGTCCAGTCCAGTCCAAATTTTACCCTAGCCGTCAATTTGCGTCGATTTCTTAATTAAAATATAAACACTGTTGACAGAATGAAATGGTATCGCTAATGTAGTCGCATAAAATTTATTTGGTCATTATCTCTCGCTCCATTATCGCATCCCGCGCCCCGGGTAACGCACGAAGTTAAGTCAACACGAAACTTTTATGTGGTTTTTGAGTATCCAGTACTTTATGGTTTAAATTGAAACACGTATCATTATGGAAAGTCTAGGCGATCCAATATTTACTGAAGAAGCATTGGAGATTTTATGTTGAGTATTATTGTTCAAGACATCACGAAATTATTACGATTTGATATATTTCTGGAACGTAAAAGCCATTCATCGTCCGCCATAAACAAGCTCAAAAATAAGGGTTCAATCTATTGAAAACGGTGGCTTCATTATCTCAGAAATGTTTTACTACTTAGATTTTTTGCGCCGTAAATGTGTTTCAGTGTGGACAAAGAGGTTTCATTGAGGTATCAGGATAGATATATTGGAGAACACTTACAGCCGGCTAAAGTCATGATAAAGGCACGTTTTCGAAAGTTCAAAACAAGTTGACTTTGATAATTCGAACTCAAAACACGGCAAGTTGAAACAATGTCCCAAATATTTGCAATCACGATTTGTTTTCCTTCTTTTGTAAACTGGATGCCATTTCAAAGCATTATTGTTAATAATCACATAATTCAGAATTTGAGAGAGAGAAAGGTTCCACAAACTTAAAAATATCACCAAAATTAAACTTTCACAGAATCCTAGTCACTATTTGGACAACTTTTCACTGTTTTTTATATCTTTTTCCAATTAACGTTATCGTGCATGTTCTTCAAGCGTTTAAAGTAATTAGTGAACTGTCACGATGGCTTAAATAAATGCTGATTTTAAAAGTGTAATTCCACTCACAAAATTAACATTCTGAAGTTACAAGCAAAGTTTATGTGCTACATCACGTGTACTTTGAACTCTGTTGTTAATGTGGAATGAAAATCTCATTGATATAGAAGTTCATTTAGCTGAAAGAAGGTCACAGGCTGTGTTATGACAAAACCAACTGAATGCAGTTTTCTGTGAGCGGAAAGAAGCACACCCGCTGGGTAGAACAAGTGATTTTAACATTCCACACATCTACGAACAATATCCCAGCAACCACACAGGAACTCTTAACAATGATTTAGAGCTAATCAAACCTATAAAACCTAATATCTTGTCCCCTCGCATTCATTTCTTCAAAAACGTGCACGCGCTAACGATAACGATCGGTGGTAAATTGAACTGGACACAATGAATTGCCCCACATTGTCGCCTATTTTGCTTTTCACGATTTTGTGCATAGGAGGAATTTCTGATTGTACAGCTGTAGATAAAGGCCTCCTTTTCAAGAGTTTTTCCGCAGACCACGCAGAAGGATGTTACATCCACAATAAAACCTTGGGCGTCTGCTTCGATATTCAGGAAGGATTCATGAAATTGCTCAAGGCCAATGGCGATGAAATGGTTCTTTACATGGACCTTGGACCTGAAATGTTTTACTACCACATTCTGGATCAGGGTTTCATTGGGTAAGTGTGTGACTCAGCCCTCCTTTGAAAATGCATGGCTACTCATCAACTACAATAAATGATGAAAGAGAGTCTTCGTTTGAATTTTCCACTTAAGTACTAGTTTCATAGTAGTTGTGATTTCACGCCCTACTGTTCCTTTGTCATGTTTCATGTTTCTAAGGAACTAAGACAAGATCGACTGATTTTGGAGTTTATCAATTGACAACTTCTCGGTTTGAAATCCATACCAGAAATCCATTCGGAGCTCAATCTTTTTTGATTTCGCTGCAACAGAAAAGTCCTTTAATTGACAGAGCCTTTTTCCCTGTTCCACAGACATGGTCCTTCATTTGTTCATGTCCCCGCCAACATTCCCAGAAGTCCAGACGCACTGAGGGAGTTTTTGAGACGCAGTTCTCAGAATGATATGAAACAAGAAGACGTCACGAGGAACCACTATCTGGAAGCCATGAACGAGCTCCACTATGTCCCTGAAACTCACTTACTGAAACGGCTGTCAGCAGCTCTGGGAGATAACTCTACTCGGTTAGAAATTCTCCAGCCTTTCCACTCCTTATGTTTCAACTTACTGAAAGCTTCTGACGTGGAGATCACACCCGAGCTAAGAGCTGCGCATAGCATGAAGGAGGCTTACGCTGATTATGGTCAAGAAAGACAGAATCGCGGTTGCACGAGGCCACAGAAGAATAACTGCCGCGGGATGTGCGGTAAAGGATGTTGGTGCTGGAGTTGGTTTTGTGGCGATTGCTGTTGGCATCGGGGCTGTTACGAACATGACCTGTGTTGCAAGAAGAAACCGTACAGTTCTTACTGTTTGGCGCCAATTGGTTTAACTTGTTCTGGTTTCCGTTATTATAAAAAATGTACGAAAAGTAGTTCATGGTGGAAAAAATAATGCGCCTCGATGTAATACTCGGGAAAAACAAGAGAACGCGTGTTCTGACTTTGACTCTCAATTGTAGTAGTTTCATTTAGTCAGTTTCACTTATTTCTGAATGCGGCTGTACTTTCTCTCCAGGGGTTCTGAATAAGCTCTATTCTGCTATAATTATTGTCTCATCGGGTGCATGTCTAGGTGGAGGAGCAGTATTGATCAGCATCATGGGAAATAAAGACATTTAGTCAGTGGTTTATCAAGTAGTCTAGCTTCAGTTTCTTTTACCCGTTTTAAAAGTTCGGCCCCGCATAGGCCAGGATACCCCTTCCAAAAGTTTCTCAAGACTTCTTCAATTCTCCATCATTCAAAATAAACACCTGGTGTACTTTTTTCCCCCTTCCTCGATTTTCTGCCAACTATATACCTTTCTTGGCGATGCGACGAAGAAGATTCCAGCTGTAGAGGTTTTCACAAAATCACCGTGAATGGCAACAACTTCCCACCTGTTGTCCCTACAACATCAAAGAAACAAGAGCGGTGCAATGGTTAGATGAATTAGATGCAGCCTTAAATTAATTTTATTTTACAAAGAAAAGCCAAGCTGTGCCATACACTACTCATGCCATTACGAGTTAGCGATCTAAATGAAGTTTAACATATTCGATTTATACACAACTGAATAATCCTGGCTTAGGCTAAGTTCATTTAGAAACCATTTAAGTTAAGATCAGAGCTTCCAAAGCTGTTTTGTTTTGTGACAAATAGTACAGTGGAAAAAATTGGAAAAAAACTGAAAAAAAAAAAACAAAAAAACAAAAAAAAAACAAGTTCCCTCAATCTCTGTTTCTATTTTCAGCCATACAGCTTCAATGTCTGCCGGTCCGATCATTCAACCTCAGTTTCGATGGGATCCGAATTGGGAAATGCTTCCTTGTCGAAAATCATTCCACACTCTTCCGAATGCGCGATTATTATTTAAAATGTATGGCCTTGTTCCTGGGTATTTCTCGTTCCAATTTATCATACGAGATGAAACACGCGATTACCTAAGGGACTCTGTCAACAAACTGGTTGTTCCTTTACCGTGAACTTGCTAATTGAAAAATATTATTTATTACAGCGACGCAACCCTCTAGAACAGCTCACCCTGCAATCTTAGAGAAAGAATCGCTAGCTTTATCTTGAATTTATAAATTAGAAACACGCTATTCATGGAAAAAAAGCTTTTAGTTATTGAACTGATAATTTGGTAATATAAGTAATTTGTTAAGTCAAGTTTAGTTTCTTAGCATAGATAGAAAAAATTAATCTAATTATCGTATTTTACAGCCTGATGAATATTCAGTGGGTATAAAGAGAGAAAGAAAATTAATCTACCTCGAAGTCTCTTTAAAGTTGACTTGAATGAAATGTCTCTTTTGTTACCCTTGGAATGCACGCAGCTCTTAACCGCCTGGATAATCAAGCTGGCGAACTTGCTTCGGTAAACACTTGAATTTAATGCTCCAGTTGTTGACTGGATGTAAAAAAATGTGAAAAATCGCTGTTCGAGTGTATCTAAACATCCTCAATTATCAATGAGTTGACAGATATTCATCTGTATACGGATTAAAGGCGTCATCAGTAACACTCATGGGTCAATAGAACCACAAGGATGAGAGCTGAAAGTAAGAGCTCAAATTGTTCAAGTTCGTCTCTTACATTCTTTTCCATTCTTACTTGTTCTATTGGTTTATATTTCCCATTCAGAGTTTTCTTTCTTACTCACCAAAACAGTGTTAAACTTTGTATCTCGGGTCGAAACGAATCTTGAAATGTATCATCTAGCAGCTCCAAACTTCGATAAACCCAGCCTTGACACGAATTCCACGAGTTATTACTCCGACGGCCCGAGACATCGAAATAGTTCTAATCTGACACTCATCCCTTTGGAGTCATGCAGGTTCAGTATTTTCCTGTCCAATCTAATGAACCATGGCTTTCCTCTGATTTTCTTTCCTACAGATTCAAATGCGACCTGAAAACAGAGGACACATAGCTAACCTGTGGATGAACCACCACCAAACTATTAGTGCAAATAATTAATTTTTTTCGCTCTATTTTAGTTCAGAATATTTAATTAAACTGATCAGGGGTTTCATTGCTCCAAATCAAGACGCACATTCCTTTTTCTAATGATTGAGATTCTGCAATACTTCCGCAGTGAAAAGAAATCATGAAACGGTTCAGTATTAAGCATCATCCCAAGTTTAGTTATCTCCAAAATGACATCCTGAAGCAAACAAACATTGCGGTGGTCAAAATTTCACCGATTTCCTTAAGCAAAGCCGTCTGGTAACTTCTTGAATAACAAAAATATGCTGTCCGAGTAGCTCTTAAACTGCTTCGTTTAAAAAACTAGGGGATCGAAAACATAAACAATTATAGCTGAGAATTTCTTCCTTCAGCAGTGTAAGAACAGATGTTGCCAAAAAAGGAAAGCATGTGCACAGATGTATATATTTTTCTGATAATGATGAAACGGAATAAGATCCGGCGGAATTTTTTTGTGGCCGGCTTATGAGAAACTGAAACTGCTGGTCACGTTTAAAAAGTGAACTTTGGCCAGAGAGACAATACCTTTAAGAATCAAGTTGCCATACACTGTGGCACAAACTTCTACACACGGATTGGAGTGAATCCTCCATCGGGATTCTCAAACAACAGCAGTCGCTTCACTTCACGTTTGAAACTTCGAGCGTTTTTTCACGGTGAAATGTCTTCTTCAAAAACTCCAATTTCTTTTTTGTTAACTTTGGCAGTTTTTTGTTGCTCAGTAGCAAGCTGTGATTGCAAATCTATAACTCAAGCGCTGCATTTCGAGGATTACTCAGAGCATCGAGTAAAAGGATGCTACTATAACAACCAGACCTTGGGGATTTGTTTTGATATTGAACAAGGTTCGATGAAAGTGATGAAGACAACCGGGCAAATAATAGTGTTTTACCAAAAACTTGGTACAAACATGTTCTATTACAAGATTATAGATCAAGATTTCCTAGGGTAAGTGAAACGTTTTTTATTTACGCAATCGTAAGAAGAGTCGTCATTGACCCGTGCTCGTTTGATGAAAGATATTTTTCTATCAATCGTCAGCAGCTATGTTATGTTGGAAAACGCCCTCGAGCCTTCTCAAACCTTGTTATTCTATTCTGTACCGTCATTCATAGCGTTTGGTGGGAAATACCGGTAATGTCATAGTCGGCTATAGAACTACATGGGGTTATTTAAAATTAAAAAGAAGCCCTAGGACAATGGTGAAGTTGTTTACCGGCGCACTTGTAGTGAATCTGTCTTAGTGTAAACAAAGGGAAGGAGAAACACAGTTTTCTGGTGTCAATTTGTAAATCGACAACATTTAGAAATTGCACTGTCATGCCGGCATTACGTGAGATAATCCTTCCTACATATACATTTTTTGAAAGCCGTATATCACAGATAACAACCACATGTTTGAAAGTTTCTTAAAAGAATGTCACAGTTTGTACAACGAAATATCCTGCGCCAGAACTACTGGAATACTAATTGACTCGAAAAAATAGACCACGCGCTATTTTAAAGCTGGAATAAATTTCGTCTACGGAGAATTAATTCCCTATCAATGATTTTTTTCAATCCTCTTTAGGCGCGGTCCATCAGTGTTTTACGTTCCCAAAGCCATTCGTAAAGCGTCGCACAGTCTTCGCGAGTTTCTGAACATGGATCGGACCACCGAGGAAACACAAGTCGAACTAACGGCGTTAAAAACTCATTACAATGAGGCCATAAGAGAGCTGCGGCAAGAACCGGAAATTAAACTCCTAGAACGCTTGTCAGCAACACTTGCTGAAAATGTGACTCAACCGGATATGTTAAAGCCATTTCATGCCCTGTGTTACAGTATCCTGAAGACTTCAGACATTCAGATCCCACATGAATTGAGGGCAACACGCGATTTTGGAAATGAAATTTCTGGGCACCATAGCACAAGACAAAAGCGCTGTGACTTGTTACTTGATCCCAGAAATAATAATTGCACTGGTATGTGTGGTCCAAACTGTTATTGCTGGTCTTGGGTCTGTGGAGATTGCTGTTTTCATCAGGGATGTCTTGAACACGATATATGTTGTGAGAAATTCGGCGCTTGGAGTTCTCACTGTGTTTTCCCACTCGGCTTCACTTGTGAAAGTTACAAGGAATGTTAACGATAGAAATGACACAAACTGTCGTTCTTTCTGTGAAACATGCATCTTTTGCTTAAATAAATTATACTATGATAATATTCACATTATAAATTTTAAATAATTATATATTTTTCCGTTTCAAATAAGTTTCATTTGGGTTAGAAAACAGGAACTCAGAACGCATCCCTGGTACTTTGCTCTTCAATCCAGTACACCCCAGCTGACATCAGTATGCATATTCTCCATACTGTTATCCATGCATTTCCTGAGGTGCTAACAAGGAGAATTTGTTTAACAATCAAGAGCTTCTTTAGTTGGTGATCATTCCTTTATTCTTGTGACTTTTATGTATTTTTTAGGGGTGGTATTGTAAGAGAAATTAGCATCATCCAATGCACTACATCTAAAACCCAGAGATTTTTCTCACATCACATCTTGATACTCAGTGTTACAGTATCCAAAGCATTATTCCAATGGTTATGTGTATGTAAATAAAGAAAGATGATTCTTTTTATTTGGTCAACCAATATGTGAAAATGTTCTTAATTTGTCCCATAAATGCAGGGGTTTCATTATAGTTTTCAGCAGGAGGGCTACTGGTTTTCACAGGCTGGCAAAACTTTTTGAACTGTACTTCTTTATAAGATAAAGTTTCCTCCAGATGGTCAAACCAGGTGGGCAAAACTGTCCTCACAACCTGTCAATTTTCCCAGTGCCCTCCACTAAGCTACAGAGAGCTCATCAATGGGTTGCACTCAGAGAAAAAGAAAAAGAATTCTTTATTTGACCAGTAAGTGCTTCAGTGTTTTCATGTTTCTTTATCAGGGTTAGTGCACGAATTTCAGAGTTAAATTTAAGGACTTTTTAAGGAGTATTTAAGGACTTAAATTTGACTTTCAAGAAGTCATTTTTGCTATGAAAAAACGCTTCTCTAAGCATTTGTTTGCAATAATGGGAGCACATTTTTTCCCAAGGCACTCTTGAACCAGATAACTTTCTAAATTTTTTCTCTTTTATTGTTTCCAATATATTTTTTCACATTCAGTGCATATTTAAGTAAAAAATTCAAGGAGTTTGTAAGGATTTTTTTAAAAATTTCTTATTTTTAAGTAGTTTTCGAGCGCCCTTAAATTTGCAAATTATATTCGAGTAGTTTTCAAGGAGTTTAAGGAGTAGCACGAACCCTGTTTATATACTCTGTGTTAAGAATGCTTGTCCCATTAACCACACAGATACACTTCATCTGTTGTAGTACCAAAGGCCTGTGAAAATGTGTTTCTTTGAATCCAATTATCATTGAAAAATTACATCAAATGCCTGAGATATAAACATGTGAGGTGATCAGCAATTTAATTTTATTATAACCAGTCTTCTTTCCTGTCTAATTTTGTTACACAAGTGAAAAGAAACAAAGGTAAGAAAATATATCACCCCTAACAGTGCAAAAACATTAGAAACCAGAGGAGCAAAGGAGAACAGACAAAAGAAAGGAGTTTAACTGTGTATGGCTAGGAGATGGAAATGCTTCCTGCATTCCCTCAATTTAAACATTGAACGAAATTCAAATGAAAAAAATAATTTGCACACCAGGTCAGTGTTTTAAGCCACCTATAGGGTAATCATTTCTCTTAAAATATTTAACAATTATTCTTTGAAATCGAGGTAAATAGCGGCTAAATATTTACCGAGCCACGAAGGGGCGAGGTAAATATTCCCGAAAGCCACTATTCACCGAGATTGAAAAGAATAATTGTTTTAGTATATACACATGAAGTGATCTCAACAAAATTAATAGGAAGCCATTTAAAGGCAATTTCTGCTTCTGAACTTAAGCAAAACGCGAGTTTACACCCGCTATTTTGTTTTTCACATTATCCACTCGCTCGGAGGTGTACATTGTTGATTAGCATGAGATAGCAAACCAATCAGATTGCTTGAAATACCAAGATCACTGAGTGTGTATATACTAATTTGATTTGGAAATCAAATCTAAAGTTTGTTATCATTACCTCTTTAAATTTTTAACTAATCCCACTCCACTTGATGGATGTATACAAAATCTCATCTGTCTCACCATTTACAGAACAAATAAGAGCTGTTTTTTTCACAGCAGCACCCAGTCTTCCTGCTGAGATCATCTCAAATGGAGTCATCTTCTTTCCCCATGGAACAATTATAACAATGTAAAATGAGTGATACCTCATTGGATCACCAGGATACGCTAGTAAATCTCCTCCAAATTTAACACCAGATGTCAAATAATATCCTTTTGACCACAAGTCCAAAAATACCCTGTAATGTAGCTTTTCAGTTTCTGTATAGGGGTATGTCCAATGTGCAGCTGATAAAGCCTGGAGTCTTTGAGATGGCATAATTGTTGGAATGTGAATCAAAGTTCCAAGGGCTGACAAAGACTTTTTTCCTTCATAATTAATATCACAGTTAGGTGACACTCTCTGCAAGCAAGACTTGTCCTTGCATTTACATCCCAATTCATTTTCAGTGTTTTTAATAAAAGAAGTGGCTAAACTGGCTTCAGCGCAATCGGTTTTGTTTCCTGTTTCTTCATTACTTGTCAAACCATTGTCAATATTCCATTTCGTATCCAAACGATTGCCAACTTTTTCTCCCTTTTGGCAGAATTCTTCAGGAGTGTTGTCGTCTAAATCTTCACTTTTCACTTTTTTCACTGGCTTAGTTATCCCTTTATCTGTCTCTCTCAGTTTTCTTTTCCGTTTCCTTCCCTCCTCGATAATTTCCGCTAATTCCATCTGCTTTTCCTCTCTCTCTCTTTCAAATAACTCTATTTGTTTCACAGCGCTGTCACGGCGAAGCTCATTAAACGTTTCAATTTCTTTATTCGACGGAGCTGGGAGATTTTCAGGCAAATCAAATATCGTTGCTAATCCCTTATCGATAAGCAGCGTGGCCTCTGCTTTGGAAAGAAGAAGCGGCAGAGAAAAGCAATGGTTCTGTTTTGGTTTGCGAGGTAATGATCCAATGAGTGATCCAACTATGCGATATTTAACCCGAATTTTTTTAGCATCCTCAGGGTTCCAAACGAAAACTTTACCGAATTGAGAGAATAAAGTCACACACGATTCTTCATCGCCATCCTCCATATTGAAAATTGTATCTTATAACCGCTGAACTTGTCTTTGATAATCGCGGGCGGTAACAGCAGAGAGCCTCATCTCCAGTCTCCAGCCGCAGGAAGATTTCATTTATCCTGGTCACATAAAGCTAAGCAGGATATCAGGAGAAAACGAGGAAAGCTTATCAATCACGAGCCAAAGAAAAAGCGATTTGTAAGCTTTCCGAGTTACATGACTAGTTACATCTGGGTTCTGTAACCTGCTAAGGCATAGGCTAAGATCGCCTCCCAGTTAAAATAATTGAGAAGAATTTGCTACCTTTCTATAACATCAAGAAATGGTTAGATATTCTAGTCTTCTCGGATAGGGACGAATAAATGAAGGTCCCATCTCCTGCAGGGTTAGGGGTAGGAGACGTTAATTTCCCACGCACGAGATTACTGTGTGATGGATGTCCTTCCCCGGGGTGGGATGGGTGGGTTGGGTTTAGGTGGATGAACCTGGTAAAGGAATACGTGTCCTATGGTTCTTCCACCTGTACAAAGTACAATCTTTAGAAACAAAGATTGGAAACTGAATTGATCAATCATAGATGCGTACTATGTTCATTACATTATAAATGCAGCTATCACAGACAAAAGTTGGTCGATAAATTTTATCAAACAGGCTCAAGGCTTTCTTTCTTTCAAAATTTTAAAAAGTTGTCTTTTCTCCCTGACAAGACCACACAAAGCGCGTTGTCATCAAAGCCTGGGATACGATACACGTTTTTTACTAGCTACGATTCGTAATACTTATCACGGAGGCGACCGGAACCCATGCAATGGCCTCTTTGACTTGTTTGTGAATGTAGACATTTCAATCTCTTTTTAAAGTTCAGGGTGGGTAATCTGCCTTAAGCACTGAAGATTAATAAAAGTGATGGACAGACGCCAGTTGGTCTAGACGCCTGTTTGAGGGCCAGCAATATAAACACCACACCAGACATAGCACGCTACGGCATACCTGAAAACTCAATACTATGCCAACTAATGCATGCCAACTAATCAACTGAGAGGCGCCGGATTCAGGGCTCTCTGACTCTTCTTCAAGAAGGGGGGGGAGCTAAGGTTGGAGGGGGAAGGAGAGAGCCGGAACATGTTGTTTTAGGGCTCGCAGTTAGGATAATTACAAGTGAAACAAAGACTCGACTTCGAAGGCTTACAGTTGAGTAAGACACAGCATGACTCTACTTATAGAGTAAGGTATTTCCGGCGTGCCTTCTTCGTGGCTCGACACAGTATGACTACACTTAAAATAATTAAAAATTTGAGTCTACTATTCCTAACAAACATGTTGACCCTTTAACCCCATTGGTGACCAGGACAGAATTTCTCCTTACAATATCAAGCAGACAAGAATTCTGCAGCAGACAATATCGAGTTACTAATGAGATATCAAGAGTGAAAGAGTTAGGGAAGTGGCCATGATGGGGCTTAGCTGAGTGAAAATCATCAAACAGTCGCCAATTAGTTTCATGTTATCTGCTCACTTGAAAAGTGTTTCTTCTTTGGGTGCAGGTTCTTTCCTAATTGATGAAGTCAACAATCGCGTAATTTCTTCACCGCTTAACTTGAACAGTTTCCAACTGAGCCACACGCGATCTCCTCCGAATGTTTCTGCCTTGTTGATACTGCAATACCACACATGAACCGAAAAATTCCGAAACAATAACAATCTCGAACACAAACGGACAAACCACTCACCATTCACGAGTTTACTAGGTAACAGGCGATGAAAAATCCCAACAATACTTTTGTTACTTTTATTGAAGTAAACGCTATTTTTCTATTCTCCACGTGTCTCGCAAGGACCTGGCTTCTCTTAAATCATGTCATTAACAATAATGGTCAGCAGGAAGTGCTATCATAATTTCCATTCTTACTTTTAACTGGTAACGTTTTTCAAAAGGCCTGCTAAACCAGAGACCGCTTTAATCTTCTCTTGGTCCGAGCGTGAAGTAAAAGCTCACAACAAAGAGCGTTATCATGGCGGAGAATGCGTTACAAATGCATTGGTTCCTCATGCTAGGGATAAGTGTAATTTAAAGGTCTGTTTAACTGCGCACAAAACCATGTAGAGAAACACAGAACTGATCTACGTTACCCAGAACTATTCTCCCATTTTATTCAATTCATGGTCTTTTAGTCTTCCTTTTCTGCCCATATCACTAAAGTTCAAAATCTGTCAACATTAAATTTGTGTTTCCTCCTCTAAAACTACGGATTTTCCTTTGCCCTAATTCTATGTACATCGAAATCCTTGGTCATTGCAAATTAATATAATTTCTGGTGTCAAAAGCGAAGAGTGCGACACTTAGACAGTTTTACATTAAATGTGAAAAATAAAAACAAACCGCGTTGAAATATAGTATATTCAAATTAAATAAATTTAAAATGCGCATAAAATTTGTCCTCAGTAAAGTTCAAGCGCATATTTCTGTCTAAATACTCGTTAAAAATTGTTTTTTCAACACGCCATAGAGAGTTCATTTAAGTAGCCATCGAGAAGTAGTATCCTCAAACAGGTTTGACGTAATCGTTCTTTCTTCTCTGTGATTGGCCACTCATGCTCGACGACCGTGACGTCATCTTGCTGTTGCTCATGCAGCCAAGACACTTATTTTCCAGGTCCCAGAAGCAGGTTCGGCAGTAAAATACCTCACAGTCTTCCGTGTCACAGTGCAAGTACTTTCTGCTAAGTCCAGTGCCACATACAGAACATCTTTGAACACTGACTCCTACAAACTCGAACACTGCTTTTATCCAGCTGAAATTATTACACAAAACCAGTACTGCGTCCAGCTTGTTGAGTGTTTCATTTTCTTCAGAGAAGTTGTTCATATTTTCGATAACCGATTTGTAAAACAGCTTGCGCTCTTCAAGAAGTTTGTAGTAAAGGTAAGCAATGCGTTTTCTCTCTCGTCTGGGGTAGAAGCGCGACGCAATCAAACGGCGAAGGCGAAGGATAAAGGCTTGGAGAATGATGATCAAGAGCAGAACTCCCAGAAGAGTTGACAAGACGATGACGTAAGACTCGTTCAGCCTCTTGAGTGTGCCATCGCACCTACCAGGAATATTGGAACGTGGTTCCTCTCGAGTGATAACAAGATAAAAGTAATGATCTAAGAAAATAATTATAAGGGCATAAATCAAATAAACAAAGTAAAACATCAAGTATTTCAGCATGCTTCTTTTCTCGCTCTTAGCCAGTTGACAGCCAGTTGGTTGAACGAATCTCTGTAGCTCGGCTTTCTTCAGTGGAACCAGTAGGTCAGCGGCTCCGCTTGACTTGCGCATGTCCTCGATCGACTTGAAGCGAAGCGTGAGATAGTGATTGTCAAACTCATTGCAAGAAAGATACCACTTGTGATAACTGTACGCTTCGTACAATACAATTAAAACCAATAAAGGTAACAACAGAGTTATGATATGGACAAAGTCACAAGGTTCCCCTGTTGCGACAACAGTGTTATTTTTGTCCGTGATACTATCTTTTGTTGCCATTCGCTCGGGGAAACGTCCAATTATTTTCTCAATTTGTGATAACGTGTGATAACTCGCGTTGTTGATGTCTTTGCACGTTTCTCTTATCTGGCTGTCAGTGAGGTGATCACAAGCGTTCCTTGGCGTAAGAAATTGACAGTTTGGTGGGTTCAGTTTCGTACATTGGCTGTACATGTTGTCGATCTCAGAGGCGCAGATGTTAAATGCGCGCCGCAGAGAACTCATGCAAATTGGCTCAAATGAATTATTATCAGCAGACAAGTTATCTAGACTATCAGCTGATGACAACAGGGAATTATTCATGTATTCTTGCAGTTCGTGTGAAATGTTCTCGTACATTATCAAACGTTGTACCACAGCACGATTATTTTTATCAGCCAGAACAAATCTGGCTGGATTATCACTACTATTGTCCGCGAAATGTTCAGTGTCCATTAGGCAAGCTCTGTGATGGGTGACCAAGCGTACATTCTCAATAAAATTGCACATTGGACCAGAAAGGATGAAAAACGTGATAAGCAACCAGAGGGAAATTTTCCCACCACATGCAAATAGGCTTGGGAAAACCAGTAAAGCGATGCATTGGAGTCGCGTCTTGTCGAGAAATCCGAAAATTGTTGCCACAACAAAACCCACGATAAGAGCGGAAACGATGCTCGTCACAACGTGCAAATGAGCGAGGAGAAAAAATGTCAAAAAGATGAAAACACCCAGAAGCAATCCTAAAAACATGCCCAGTAAAATTCGTAACTTCGGTCGCCTCTTTGGCGCGAGCAGTTTTTCTTTGGTCTCCTTTACTGCAAGCACCGCATCCTTGATGCTCTCCGTAGAGCGCTTGCCTTCTGTATCTATACTCTCATACGAAGCCATTCTGTTCTTCATTTGCTCTTTAGTCTTCCTGATTACTGATGATGTTGGCTTCAGAGTTGATGAACCATCTTTTGATTTATGATTTTTATCTTTCGGTTTCTCGACTGTTGTTTCATCTATCCCTCGCTTTTTCGTCGAAGGCGACGATGGTGGTGTTTTGTAATGCATCGGTGTATCGTAAATATGTGGTTCGTTACACTCCGCACAACCTTGGTCGTTTGATCGGGCAGGTTTAGGTGGTAAAACCACGTTTGGGACTTGATAAATATTCGCTTCGTCCTTCAACAGTGGGTTCTCTTGAATATTAACTGCAGCGCCCCCAGCAGCGCGCTTGTTGGTCACGTTTGAATGATTTTTCTCGCCAGAGTTCTTAGCGTTTTCTGTCGGATTAATTTTGCCCAGCTGAGTTTCTGCTGGTTTAGAAACTTCCTTCGGTTTACTACTTGTGAGCGTCTCTCTCAATTGGAGTTTTGTCTCTTTGCTTTTCTCTACAGGTTCGTAATTTCCATCCTCGTTGAAATCTTTATTCGGCGTGGGCTTAGATCGCAATGAATCCCTCGCGGTAGCTGATGTCGGTTTTTTTTTCGTATCCACTCGTAGTGCCGCTTTCGTTTCTGTCGACTTTAAACTGTCACCACTCCTATTTAAATTCAATCTGAAAGGCCTTCCAATCGCTTTAGGCGGTTCTTTTTCTGTTTCAGTCGCCTCGGACCCTGGTTTCTGTTTCTGAAGTGTCTGGAGTGATCTAGGGACAAACTTTGGATCCTGTTTATCATCTTTCATTGGATTTCCGGTTTTTGAAACGTCTCGCTTCGCTGATTTCTCATCATCGTTACAATAATTTCCATCTACAGAATCTTCTACAACTCCTGAATCTCCCGACGTTTCTTTTCGTTCTTCTTTCGCTTTCTCTTGTGGTTGTTTCATACTTCCGGCAAATGGTTTCGGGTAAAGTGGCGTTTTTCTAACTGTAGGCGTAGTTGTTCGATTTTGAAGCCATGCGGGCTTCTTGTCATCTTTTGCAGCCGGTTTTTCATCGCTATTAGTCTCTGTATCAGGACTTCCTGAACCGCTCCCTTTTTTATTATTTCCAGTCAGTTTTGCCGCACAACTCTCAGGAAATTTTCCAGTTTTTCCACTGTTCAAATTTTTGCCATACATCCATCCGTCTCCTCTTTTACGAACGTCGAAAATAATATCACCTTTTTCAACCGCCATCGGCGAATCTTTGCCACCAAACCTGGCTTCTTTAGGATCGGGTGCAAAATCTTGAGTTATTTTAAGATATAAGCCATCCATGATGTCTAGAAATATGATCGGAAAGAATTAAAAACGACTCTTTTCACGATTGAATGTCACTAGGTTTTCATTTCGCTCGCTTGTTTGAATTTGAATCAACTAAACAATATCGATGGACGTGTTGTCATTATATCGCATCACGTGACCGGTTTTCCAGCTGACTTCACTCACGCCACATCTCATTGGTTCCGCTTGATCGCCTTTAGAACACTTGATCTTTAGCTTTCAAATCACTCAGCTACGGATCTGTTCTGCAAATGGATGATAAATAAGGCGTGCTACTTTTAAAAACAATAACAAACGATATCATTAATTAAAAGCATTTGACACTCGGTGTCATGTTGCCAATTTCCTTTGCAAAAAGGTTGAAAAATTTAATCGTAATGTGCCGCAATTTTTTAAAAGCTGTGGATATGTTTTGGTCTGTTGTTACCTTGTTTAATAATATTTTTGGCCACCGGCATGCAAATTTATACTTGTTTTATAGCAAAGTCGAATCACCTGCTATGCAATTAGAATGGAATGTCAATTCACCCACTGGCTCAGATATCAAGGTAAAAGTATTGGACACGAATTTGAAATGTCATTTCTAAACTTAGCAAAACATGGTACAGAATACAAGAAATTGTTTCATTATCAAGTGTGCCTGCTCTTGTGAAAAATTATGGCTCCCAACAAACTGAGGTTATCAATTTTTTTCATTGTTTAAATCATGATATATCATTTCAAAATTTGCCCCGAGGAAGTAACATCAAGATGTCTCAAGGAAGCAATATTTCTTGCTTACATGAACCATACAAAAGTTTTGACTCTAGCAAAAATTTCCCTGATAACTAAGAAAAAAAGCACTGTTAGAAAAAAATTGCTTTTCCTCCAAAAAAGGTGACTTAAAACTAACAATATGAAACAAAATAAGTTTAATTCTTGGATAAAGGCTTGCCAAAATAAAGTCATAACTGAATATCTGTATAAAGAAATTCTTTACTCTGCTTCACTGAATAACATTTAAGCCAAAGTGATAACTTGATGACTCACAACTTATTATTTATACCACAAATTCAATTCACAAAAAACAAGAATACATAAAGTACATATACATATCATCAGATTGTTTTAAATGACTTTGTGTTTGAGCTAACTATGAAATGTGGTAGTGTCTTTGCTTTTGCAAGAGTAGTTTAAAGCAATGTAAAATAATTAAATAATATTTTCACAATTAGAGAGAATATCAATCAGAATGGCTGAAATTAAATGTCACTTCTTGGAAAGAGAGACCAAAATAGTTTGGCAAACGATCAAATATAAGGCTTCAATTCAGTCCTGCAAAACTCTGAAAGATTTGATCAAATATCTAAACCAGATCAGTAACAGTGACGAGCTCCAAAAGTCATATCAAACTTCTTAATGCACAGGTAGCAAAAATGTATTTGTTTAACCCTTACTGACTCAAACTGCTTAACATACACTGCCTTGGAGAATGAAAAATTGCATGATCCTGAAGATAATGATCGTTGAACATCATCTTCGCATTAAACCTTTTTTCAGGACAGACATTCTCTATTCGAGGGGGGTATTGGGACCTCTGGGAAGCCGCGAAACCGGAGAAAAAACCTCCAAAACCGAAAAACCGATGAAAAAAGGTAGCAAAACCGAAAACCGCATGCAAACCTGACAAAACCGCTTCATTTTCACCTTTAGAGGGGTCAAAAAGGAAAAACCAAAAACCACATCAGAGTTTTCGTGAAAACCGAAAACCGAATGCAAAAACACGCAAAATCCGCAAACTGCTCTGAACATCAAAACCGAAAAACCGAACCTTTTTGGCCCAAAAACTGAAAAACCGATCCAAAAAACAGTCAAAACTGCAAAACCGAAAATCCCAAAGCCCCCCTCCAATTCAATTCCTGTTTAAAGATTAAGTGATTCTTTGAAAATGAAGCCCTAGAGGGTAAATCCTGCATTGTATATTGTTTCAAATTTACAAATTATTGTTTTTCCTCTTTCTTAAAACTGGGTGCATCTGACATTAGTGATCTACACAGCAATCATCATGAGATGTCCTACTTTGTACAAACCCTTTAAATGGTTTCACACACATACAGCAAAGCTCCCTCAAGAGGAGGAGCATCTGACTTTAGTGCCTGAAAGTTCTTCGTCATCAAAGCC